ATCAGACTGTTTTCTGTAATTTAGGAATTATTCTCCTGTGGACTTAGATTCCTTATTATTCATCTTAGTATCTTGCATGAAGATTTTCCTTTTCTGATTGTTTTTCAAATTCAATTTTCATGTCACAACATCCATAAAAGACATATATAAAATCTATAACCACTGAGACAGGTGGGTGGATCATTATATACAATTCTTATTTACCGTCCTTCTTACGAAGAAAATAAAACCCATGTATCTATAATTAATTGAAATCTTCCGGGACTTGGATATCTCTTTTCGGTTTGAGCTTTTTTGTCAGCATTCAACTAACCAAATCCAGCCCTTTACGTTGTAGTGCGATTTATTTATTTGCGTTTTATATGCATTGTTTTTATTAGAATGTTTTGATTTGATCATGTCATTTCTGCAGACGCGGGGCCTCTTTTTTCTGAAAAGTTGACTGAATGCCGACCGCAATAAATAGATTCCTTTGAGTTTTCAAGGAAGCGGGCGAATTAAAATACCATTTTGAAGTGAAAAAAGCTGAACACAGCTAGAAATCGCTTAGTCTCGCTTTAGTATCAACAACATTTCTTGCACGCAATTCAAGTTACGCCGCAAAATACTCTGTGGTGGGAGTGAGCCTCAACACGGTCATACAGAATTATACAGAATTATACTGGAAACGTCTTTCAATTGGAGACACACTAACAATCGCATCGTTACATATCTTTTTCTCTGGTAACTATCTGCTGCATCGATACGTCGATACGGTAGAATTAATTTGCAGTATCATCTCTATGCAAAAGGATCTCTATTTTCAACAAAGAAACCTCCGGTAAGTGGCATTTCATTAAAGGACACTTTATAAAAGAAAACATTAATCTAACTCTTCAGGTAATCGAATTGCTAATTTCTTGTAAAAATGAAAATTAGCCCCCTTCCAAATTTTCCCTTTCCTTTTATTTAAAGCTTAAAGGCACGCCGAGTACTGTGAAAAGTTCGGAGTAAATGGCGTAATGATCAATTTGTGTTTTTAATTTGTGCTGAGTTTTAAGTAAACTTTTCAGATTAACGACATAGCATTGATATCGACAAAACCATTAGTAGTTATTTCCTCTTTCAAGGTTTAGCTCGCGACAGTGAGATTGAATATTAATTCGCAGAACGGCTTGTTTCAGTGTCTTATCATGCCGCTTGTTTTAATTTTACCTTGCCAATACAGACTGTTTCCTAGATAAAAGAATAGCAGACGATGGCTTGAAAAAAACAGAAGAGAACCTTTCCCATCGTATATAGATACTCACGGGAAGGACTGAGACAATACATTGTTCCTTTTAGTTTTTTAATCCAGTTTTATTCAATTGCATTCGCACGTTTAATCTACAATTGCAGTATTTTGTTTACCATTGCAGTATGTACCACTTGATAGGAACTCATGATAGCCTGATACAACTTTCACAGTGAGTAAACACACAGAACAAATGCAGAGGACAAAGTTTTTTCATTTAGCACGGTGAGTAAAATTGACTTTGATAGCTGCATTTCTCTCTCAGTTTGTTCCATATTG